AATCCCAAGACGGATCAGAAGCTAGTTTGAATCTCACTACTGAACCTGCAGTCACCCATCAGCCCACAAGGTGGCAGCCAGGAGTCAGGCAGGTGCGCGCTGAGCATCTGGTTAGGCTCAGATGATGCAGAGATGGCCGAAGCTTCAGATTATAGCCAGAGAGGGAAGGAGGGAAGAAATCCTCCTTCTGGGAGGCTTCTGTGCACCAGGCCTTGTGTGGCCGCTTTGCAAGGACGACACCCTGCACTCCTCAGCAGTCCTATGTTAGAGAACAGGGAAGTAGGCTTGAGAAGTTAAGGAATCTTCCCGAGGCCATACAGCTAGGGAAAGGCAGAGCTGGGATTTGAACCAGAGCTGGAGTGGTGTCAGAGACAAAGGAGGAGGGCAATAAGGGGATGTGTGTGTGTGTGGGGGGGGGAATAGCAGCCTCTTCTTGAGCCCTTGCTTCAGTGACTCCCAGCCTTTTTTTCCCATCTCATTGACTCCACACACTCATCTGTGAGGCAGCTACTCTCACCAGCCCCATTTCATTGATTAGGAAACTGAGGCTGGGAGAGGCTAAAAGCCTGGGGGAGGCTGCTTATCCTCAGTGCCCTGGCTCCTGGGGAATCAGCCCTCCTGAGCCCAGAGGGAGGACTACAGGGGTGAGATGAGGACTGCTGAGCATCCCCCCAACACAGCCCTGCCCAACCCCTTCTCCTCCACCCCTCCTTGAGGACCCAGGGCAGACTCACCTTCCCCAGTCACCTGATGGGGGCCTTTGTCACTGGTGCAAATCCAGCTCCACCCTCGGTGTGTGCTGTGCTGGCCCTGGTGATGCTTCCAGAATAGAAGATGTAGGTCACAGCTGGGAGCCCCTGATTTGAGCGTCAGTATTTCATTCTGATCATTTTTGTCACTGGGGCCTCCCAATGGTGGGGGCACAACTGATCTGGTAGGGGGCCTGGGGGCCTGGGGTTTGAGGGTGCCCCATCCCATTCAGCTTCACTGGATAGGGAGTGCAGTGTTGTCAAGCTCCAGTCTCAGCTCTGCCACTCACTAGCCACGTGACCTTGGGCAAGTCACATGACCACCCCAAGCCTTGGTTTCTTTGTAGACTTAGGGATGAGCACAGACCCATCATGAGGGTCATGTGAGCAAGTGAGCCAGGCACAGGTCTCAGCCCTCCCCAGGTCCTCAAATGGTGGGGCTAAAATTATTTACAGGCGCCCCTCTCTCTGCCTACCCAGGAGGCTAACTCAGCCCAGCACCCTGCACCAAAAGGGGCCCAAGGGCCTTGAAGGGGTGGGTATGGGATAGTGCTCGGCACTGACCACGGCAAGGCTCCCCCTACCCCTTTAGGCCAGGGAAGCTTCCAGGAGCTGCGTTTCCTGTGGCCTCAGCCTTCCTTTCCCTGTGCTTTGAGGCTGACAGACACCTGGGCCTCCCATGACCTCAGAGGCCATGCCAAAGGAGGCATCGAGGCACAGACAGTGGGAGCTTTCCGCTGCCAGTCAGTCAGGCCTGAGTGTCGTGGCCCAGGCCTCCTGACCGGTGATTGGTCCAAGGTGAAACTGGGTACCTTGGAGCACAAGTTATAGGGATGCTGGTAGTTATGCTCCTTACCACAGTGGGGCGCCCTAGAGACCACGGCCAATTCACCCACAGAAGGAAAGACGGACAGAGACAGAGGCTCCCAAAGCCTCAGTTTATGGTGGCATTAAAGGGCTAACAAATGCAGGGCTAATAAAGCCCTTTATTGTTTAAGCCAGTTTGAGTTGTCTCTGTCATTGGCCACCAAAGAGTCCTGGCTAAAACCCACACCATTTCACAGGGTTATTGGGTGAATAAATGAGATAATATTTCCAAGTCTCTGGTATAAAAATCAGTGCTTAGAAAAAAAGCAGCTAAGAAGGTTCTCAACAGCGTACAGTAACAGCCTCTGCACTTCCTCCAGCCCCAATTTTGCAATATCATCCCACTTTGCTTATACAAATACAGTCCGTGAAAACTCTCCCTAACATGTACACAGGTTTTGAGCTAGTATTTAAAAGGAGACATTGTTTGGTGGGCATTTTCTCTAAAAATTCCAATAAACTGGATATTGTCAGAGATTTCTGAGAACAAATAAGAATAATGATTGTTGGTGTAAAACACACACAATTCCTTTCATCTGAGCTCTTGGCTGTGAGCACCTGCCTAGTGTGGGGTCCCCTATGGTCCCACACACATGAAGGGGAACCCTTTCCTCCTGCTTCACCCACAGCTGCAACTGGGAGGCTGTGCCGCAGGGCCAGGCAGTGGGGTACTTCATAAGCAACAGAGTTCAATCGAAAAAGTGAATTACTGGTGCTGAGTTACTAATAAGCAAATAATCAAGTTATACCCATCACAAAAATGTCCACAAACAGAGCGATTGTGACAAGGGCAGAAACCTGGAGTCTTGCTCTTCAAAACAAAGTGAAGCAATAACTCTGGAAGAAGGTAACTTACAGCAATGGGTCTCTTGGCTTATAAAGTACTCTGCCAGTGAGTAATGCTGATACTACTGATGATGACCAGGACAAAAATGACAGTTGCTGAGTACTGAGTACTTACCACAGGCCAGTGCCTTCAGGCATTATCTCATTTCATACTCCAAGTGTTATTATCCTCATTTTACAGATGAAGACACGGAGGCTCTGAGAGGTGAAGAAGCTTGTCCACAGAGCTAGTGAGTGGCAGATCCTGAGAGCAGGTTACCACTGTAAACAAGCAATTCTGCCTAGAAGAAAGGCCAGGACAGACAAGGAAAAGCCCCAAATATTTTGCAACTCTGCCTTTCTGAGGGGTGGGGCAAGCTTCACCAGACCAGGCTACATGCCAAAGAGTGCCTTGGAATGGCCTGAGGGACAGAGGAGGAGGCCACAGCCCAGAGCAACAGGAGTGAGGACTCAGCAGCAGGCCACGAGGTGTGGCCCTATCCTAAGCTGCTTCCTGGGTGCTGGCCAGCAGGTTGGCTCAGACATGCCAGGACAAGAGAAGCAGGGAGAAATGGAGACTGATGGCCAGAAAGCCACTCTTCCTCTCGTGACTAGCCCAGCCCTATCACAGGCATGATCTGTGCCTCTTGAATCATTGCCTTGTGCAGTCTGGAAGGGAATGGCAGTTCAGAGTGATTAGCCACTTGCTAAGTTCACACAGCCAGTCAGCACAGACGGGAAGCCAGGGAAGGGGAGAGAGGAGGGCAGGTTCATTTTCAGATTAAAGGGCCCCCCTTCCCCCAACAGGGGAGTCCAGGGAAGAAATCTTGCAGATTAGGAACCTAGAAAGTTGATGAACATCAGGTGAGTCAGAAGATGAAGCAGGAAGAAGGAGGGGTCATCCATGGGGAGGCCAGGTATAGAAGCAAGCGCAGGGGCTGGGCTGGAGGCTGGCAGTGGCAGACTGAGACCCCTGGGAACCTGGCCACACTCCCCGAGCCCTTTCCAAATCATTGGAAAAGGTGGGCACCTGTCTCAGTGGTGACTCCTGAAAGCCACGACACAGCTCAGGAGTGGGTCTGGCTGTAGCACCGTTGCAGGGAGGACTCTCCCACCATTGAGCAGGAAGAATATTCAGACAAATGACTGAGATTTTTTTCCCCTGGAGTTTCTACTTTATACCCACTGGCTGCTGTGTTGTTTGGTACAGCAAGGTTTATGATTGTCTTATCTGTCTCAGGGAATGTGTCTTTCTTCATCAGCCAATGTCTCTCTTTGCCCTGTTTAATGCTTTTGATCTTGAATTCTACTTTGATAATAATGTTGGTACTCCGATATCCCTTTTTGTTTGTTTGTTTGCCTTACCCTACTATTTTTGTCCAGCCGTTTATTTTACAATCTTTCTTTGTCCTTTTTTGGTTATTTCTTGTTTAAAAAAAGCGTATAACTGGAGTTCATTTTTCTTTTTGTTATGTTACATTTGATACATACACAAAACTTACAACTGATGTAAGTTGTGAAGCATAATAAGATAAACACCTATGAACCCAACTAGAACATGACCAAAGATAGGAACTAGAACATTAACAAGACCATCGAGTCCTCCTGTGTATTCCAGCCCATCCCTCCCCCTACCTCATCCCGATGATACTCACTATCTTGTATTTTGTTTTTATTAATGTTTCGCTTAAAAAAACCTAATTCCTGATCCCCTAAAGTTATATATTGTTCAGTCGTGCATGTTTCTGAGATTTACACTAGTGATACACTATGCATAGTCTTCTACTAGCTCCATTATTTTACTCAACATTGTTGCCAGCACTCATCCACATTATTGCACATAGCCATGATTCACCACTATATAATATTCCATTTATTTTTTAATTCTCCTATTGTAGATATTTGGGGTTTTCCAATTTTTCATCAAAATAAGCAATGCTGCAAGGAGTGTCCATCCACGTGGCCTTTAACATAACCTGTGCAGGGTTGCTGGGTTGCCAGGATATGCAGAGGATCACCTTTGTCAGACAAAGCCAGTGTTTTCCATAGTGATTTTACTATTTACACTCCCACCAGCAACTGAGAATTCCCACTGCTCCCCGTCTTTGGCTGTACTTACTGATTTTGACCTGCTCTAAATGATCTGAACTTGCTGCTGCCTTACTATTAATATGGTTGGGCATCTTTTCATATGTGTATTCTCCACCTGTGTTTCCTCTTTTGTGACATGCCTATTTACGCCTTTCAATTCCCTTTTGGGTTGTCTTTTTCTTATCTACTACTAGGATTGTTTTAAAAATATGTATTTGAGATACAGATCCTTTGCTAGTTATATGTGCTATAAGTAATTTCTTCCAGTTTGTAGAAGTTCTTCATTTTATCATAGTCTGATTTCATCATACACTTATGGTTTGTGTTTTTTTTGTGTGTGTGTACAGAATCCTTCCCTATCTGGGTCATAAAGATACTCTTTCACATTTTTTCTTAAATTTTGAAGTTTTGGCTTTCACATTTAAAATTTCAATCTATCAAGAATTTACTTTGGGGTACAGGAGAGATAAGCATCCAATTTCACATTTTTTCATATGAATGAACACATATCCAGGCACCTTACATCCAACAGTTATCCCTTCCTAGTCACCTGAAAGCCAGTTCTATTATATGCCAGATTTCTGTACATGTGAGCATTTATTACTGTTGCACTGGCCTATTGATCTCACCCTGTGCCAATAGCACAGGATCCTAACCACTAACACGTCATGTAAGTCTTGATTGCATTTAGGCATGCTTTAACCTTTTCTTCTTCAGAAGTGTATAGCTAGTCTTGGCCATTGTTCTTCCACACAGATTTTAGGATCAGCTTGTAAAGTACTTTTAAAATTCTTATTGGGGTTTTGGTTGGAAAGACATTTGCTCTATAGCTCAATGTGGGGAGAACTGATAAAATGTGGATAACGAGTCCTTGACTCCTTGAACAGGATAAACCTCCCTGTTTATTTAGGTCTTCTTTAATGTCTTCAATAAAGTTGTATCATTTTCTGCATCAGGTTTTGCACATCTTTTATTAGATTTATTTTTAGATTCCTTACTTTCTGTTGCTATCCTAAATGTTGTCTTTTTCTGAATTGTTTTATACACTAGTGCAGAGACGAGTAGTTTATTTTTTTATTTTTTTAATTCTTATTTTTTTATTGCAGTGTAGTCAATTTACAATGTTAGTTTCAAGTGTAGCCCTTACTTTCTAAACTTCCTAAATAATTCGAGGGACCAAGGGGTGCAAGGACAGTGGCCGTCATAAAGATTATCACCTCTGCCAGGGAGGGAAAGATCGCTTACTTGCAAGTCCAGAGAGAAACCATTTTGTTGCGGACAATGTCTTTTGAGGGGGGAAGGGGTGATCTGCACTTCACCCTGTTCCACCTGGGGAGTAGTGGAGGTGGTGGGGAAGCGGGGCTCACATTGTTGTTGTAGTCCGAGGTGGTGGCGGCGGCGGCATCCAGAATCTCACGGTAGCGCTGCAGGCAGGGCTGGAGGCGGCTCTCAAGCAGCTACAGCTCCGGAAGCACCTTGACATGACAGCTGTGTGCAACCCCAAGAGGCAGTGAGCCAAGGCTTTCCTCAGATTCCCGACCTCACCATGCCTGCCCTGTCTCTCCCTAGCCTCCCAGACCCCTGGCCCAATCCCTTCCGGAACTAGCAGAGCTTCTAGTCTTTAACCTCATCCAAGGGAAGACGAGGAGAGGAAAATAAACCGCTTCCACCCTCCCCACCACACAATCCTGTATCTACAAACGGCGAAGAAACAAACTGAAAAAAAGATGGGGCCTGGGTGAACCCAGGGGAAAGAATCTTCATCAGGCTCAGGATTTGGATTTCCTTGCCCCAGAGAGAAAAGGGCTTCTCGCGCAGCCGCCAATCCTAACCTCATTTACTTACTCCCGAGCCCCTCCCTGGCCCTCAACACTAACCCTTCAAGGAAGACTTCTAAGCAATCCTTTCCCATCAGACCTTTCCTGGTCCCCATACTTAGAACCCCCAACCCACCCCCAAAAGGTTCCGTCCATCTCTCACTTGGGTGGATTTGTCTCTGGGGCTGGTGTTGGGCCCGCTGGGCCTGGGCGGGAAGGGGTGAGCTCCCGGCTCTGGGCGGCGGCACGCTTCTCCACTTCCGCAGCCTCCACGGCCTCCAGAGGGCGCACTTCACATTTGGCCGGCTCTGCTGTTTGAGAGCTCAAGGCTACTGGCCCCCGGGCCACAGCTGGTGTCTGAGGGGGCAGCAGACTGTGCTGCGCTTGGGACCCACCTCGGCACTCGCTCCAGGGTAGGAAGGTCTCTATATCCCCGATCATGTGCTGAGCCATCACTGGCTGGACCTGGGGCTCACTCTGAATCGGGGCCTGTTCCATGTTGGTGGGAACATCTACAGCAGAGCCGTCATCACTAGGAAGACTGATGGTTCCGACCATGACATAGCTGTTGGCATTCCGGTCATGAACAGAGGCCCTAGGCTCACAAGTACCAGGCGGGGGTCCCCCACCATAGGTGGCTGCGGCAGACCCTGTCCCAGAAGATGCCAGAAAAGGGAGCCAAAGCTGAGGAGGAGCCCGTTCCACCAGGTGGATAACCTTTCCCCCAACATTGTATTCCTGGAGCGTCTTATCATCCTGCAGAACTCGAGCCTGGTAGATAAGTCGTTGTTTCTCGGAGGGGATGCTGACAGAGGCAGCAATGTGCTCCTTAAACTCCTTTACATTCATCTGGGCCCCCACAATAAAGGTCCGGGTCTGGGAGTCCAGAGTCTTCACCAGCACCTCCAGACTGTCAGGCCCCTCCATACTGGTACCGGTACTATCTCTGGGCTCTATAGCCGACAGCTCTCGTCACTTCCGGTCTCCCCCAACATGGCACCGATGGCCACTTCCGTTTCCCGATAGTATTGGGGGATCTTGAGGCGGTACTTCCGGTTCCTCACAGGTCCCCAAGCAGCAAGTTCCTGGGGACGAGCTGGGCCAGAGCCGGTGTGAGCCAAGTATCCTGAAGAGCCGCCGCCATCACCCCGGAACCCACATTCAGCAATTTAGTTCTGAATGCTATCTTATATCCTGCCACCTTGATAAACTCATTAATTCTAATCATCTCTTGGTATATTATTTTGGACTTTTTAATGTAGATAATCATCTCACCTTGAAATTATAATTTCATTTTTTTCTAATCATTATATGTTTCCTCCTTCTTTCCTTCCTAGTTTCCTTCTCATTCTTTTTTTATATTAAAAATTATTGGCTAACACTTCCAATAAAATGTTGATTAGGAGGATATTGATTAAGATCCTTGTTTTGTTAGGGAGAATGCTTTTTACTTTTTATTAATAAGTACCATTTTGCCAAATCTCGCAAGTAAAGAAAATTATCTTATATTCCTAGAAAGTTTAATCATGAAAGTGTGTTGATTTGATTAAATGCTTTTTCTGCATAGATTTTCTTCTTTAACCTGTTAATGTCACTGCATATATTTATAATTTTATATATAAATAACACTATAGAACACATTATATACTAATAAAATCTAATTATTATATATATTTATTATATTAATATATAATATGTATTAATGTTAAACCACCCCTTACATCCACGGTGCCAGCCCAGTTTGGTCATGATTTTTAAATATTTCGTCGGATTCAGTCTTCTACTATTCTTTCTTGATTTTTGAATTTTAAGCACATTAATGAGGTTGTCTTGGTTTGGGTAATAAAGTTATACTGGTTTTTCAAAGTGAACTGATGAGTGTTCCCTCTTTGCTGTTCTCTGAAAGAGTTTGTATAGAATTTTAATATCTATTCTTTGAAAGTTTTCTGTGGGTTTGATGTTTTCTATGTGGGCTTAGCTATTCAATTATGTTTAGTGGTTGTGGGACTATTCAGGATTTTGATTTTTTTCTTAAGCCAGTTTTGATGTCATGTGTTTCAAGGAATTTGTGCATTTTGCCTACATTTAAATTTATTAATACAAAGTTATATAGAATATTCTCTTTTTGTCTTGTTAATCTCTAGCTGTAACAATATTTCCTTTCTCATCCTTAATATTATTGGTTTACACATTTAAAAAATTCTTTTTAAACTTTACCAGATGTTTATCTACTTTATTAGTCTTTCAAAGAACTGATTTTGGCTTTGTTGATTTCTTCTCCTGTATCTTTATTTTTCTATTTGATTAATTTATGATATTCTCTCTTTTACTTTTATTGAGTTTTGTTATTCTTTTTCTAATTCTGTAAGCTGGATGCTTAGCTAATTGTCAGCTTTCTTTTCTTTTTTTTTTTAATAAGCATTTAAGTCTAAATTTCCCTCAAACTACCACTTACAATGCATTACAGAAGTTTTAGTATATGTGCTGCCAAAGTGAGCATGCATTACAAAAGTTTTGACATGTAGTATTTTCATTCATAAGGACTTTAAAATCTTCCAGTGTGATTTTTTTTCTAATTTACAAGTAAATGGAAATTTTTTTACTCCTTGTTTTATCATTGGCTTTTAACCTAGTTGCACTGTAGGTTACAGAAACATGATCTATATGATACCAGTATTGAGAATTGCATTATGTTCTAGTATATGGTCACTTTTTATATATTTCCCATGTGTACATGGAAATATTTGTATTCTCTGGTTGCTAGATTTAGGATTTTATCTACATCCATTTGTTTGAGTTTGTTAATTTTGTAGTTTAAATCTTCTATATCTTAACTATTTCTTTGACATATCAATAATTACAGGAGATATGTGGAAATCTTCCATAATAATCATAGATTTATCAGATTTTCTCTCTAGTTCTATCCATTCTTGCTTTGTATATTTTGAGGCTATTTTATGAGTTGAATTGTTTTATCAAGTTCATTAAAACTTTTATCATTGCTAGGAACTCTATTTCTTACAATAATATTTAACTTAATGACTATGCTTTTGATACTAATAAAGCCAATTCAACTTTCCTTTGGTTGATATTTTTCTGAAGTATCATTTGATTTTTAGCCTTATGGTGTCCTTACGTTTTAGGAGTGACTCTTGTAGACAACATATAGCTGGATTAAAAAAACTATCATTCTGATAATCTGTGTCTTTTAACTGAAGAGTTGAGCCCATTTACAATTTTTAAGAGTTAGTGATAAATTTGGACTTGTATCTGCCATCTAATTTTGTGCTTTCTTTTTGACCCACCCATCTTTTCCATGGTTCTTGTTTCTCCTTTCTCGCTTTTTTAAAAACTGAGGGATTTCCCTCATTTATTTCATTTCTTTTCCTCTATGTATTTGGTAATTGCATACTCCTTTTCTATTATTTTTATTAATTACCCTTAAAATTTTATGTTTCAAATGTACAGAAGTCTCTAGTTAATAATTATCTAGTACTCCCCACCAAATAATTCAAGGACCTTAAACCACATTAACTCCAAGCACCCATCCCAATTTGTATATGATTGACATCCAATATTTGAGTTCTGCCCTTTTTTCTTTTTTGTCCACAAAGTAGACATTATTACTGCTATTAATACTATTTTATAAAGATAATTTTTGTTTAGATTTACCTGCATGTTTACCACTTCTTTTATCACCATTTCTTCTTGTATATCAGACCTTCCTTTTGGGATAATTTCCCTTCACTTTCTTTTAGTGAAATCTGACAGTGGCAAAACCCTCAGTTTTAGCTCATGTGAAGATGAGCAAAACTTTTGTTTTGTTCTCATTCTTAAAAGATGGTTTTACTGAATATACAGGCCTAGGTCAATAGTTATTTTGTCTTGGCACTTTGAAGACTGCTTCCCATTTCTTACGGATTTCTATTGTAGCTATTGATAAATTTGCTGTTAGTCTAAATGCCATTCTTTTATAACTAATTTGTTTCTTTCCTCTGGTTGCTTCTAAGGTCTTCTCTTGATTTTTGGTCTTTTGCAAGTTTATCACAATATGTCTAGGTGTGAATTCATGTCTCTTACATGTTCTGAAAAGTTCTCAGCCATTATCTCTTCAAATATAATCTCACCTTGGCTTTTTCTGCTCTTCCCTTGTGGGTCTCAGTTGCATAATAGACCTTCCTATTCTTGCCTCCATCTCTCTTTACCTACTTTTCATATTTTGCATCTCCTTTTTTCTCCATGCTATATTCTGGGTAATTCCTTCAGTTCTATTTTCTAGTTCATAATTATCTCTTCAGCTGCGTCTAATCTATTGAATCCATCTGATGAGATTTTTACATCATTGATCATAATTTTTATTTATACAAGTTGTACTTGGTTTATTATTCAAATCTTCCTGTCCATTTTTGATAAGTTTTTATTCTACATATTTTTCATGATGTGATTCCATCTTGTATTTCTTTGAACATTTTATACATGGTGATCATATATTCTGTATTTGGTAATTCCAATAGCCATAGTATTTTGGAAGGGTATCTCAGTGTATTGCTTATTGTATTGCTGACTCTTATTCATAGTGGTTTGTTTCCTTGTAGTCTGATGATCACTGATTGTGAGCTCATATTTTAAATTTACTTGGTGGGAATCCTGAGGGCCTAAATTGGAGGTGCATTCCTACGGAGGGCATTTGCATTTGCTTCTGCCGGGAGGGAGTCGGGGCCACTATTAACCTAGGACTACTTTAGCCCCCTTTAAGAGAACCTGGCACATTAAAAGAGTCTCAAGTTAAGTTCTTTCACCTTGCCTCTGCCCTAGGCTTAATTTGCCTGTCACAGTGCTTATTTCAACATTTAGCCTGACTTTCCTTTTTACCTGTTCGTCACCACTCCAGGCTTTAGTTTCAGTTCTCCAGTGTCTTGATGTGTTTTTCTTGGCAGAGGATGTTTAGTCCTTAGAGATTTCCCTTTCTAACAAACCCAGCAGTGTTTGTTTTTGCTTGTTAGTTTGTTTTGTTTTGTTTTTATAATTCATGCAGAATCTAGTTGTATTTTAGTGGGAGGGTCTTTCAGAGCACTAGTCCACCATCTTGCCAAAATTAGAAATCCCATGATTATCATTTTATCCCCATTTTATAGACGAGGAAACTGAGTTTCAGAGAATTAAATGTCTTGCTCAAGACTACACAGCCAACCCAACCAGTGACAGAATCAAGACTGGAACCCATGCTGTCTGACTCCAGAGCCTGAAACTGAGCTTGTCCCGTGGTTTGCTGTTCTCCAAAGGAGAAGAAAAATATTTAAAGGATTGCAGCCTTGAAGTGTGTGGTGCAGGCTCAGGTCAACTCTCTGGGATAAACCCACAAGCTTCTGCTAAGGAAGGAATGATAGCTGCCCCGGAGTGGGTAGGCCCCAGCCATCCAGCACCAGCCGCCAGCTCAACAGCAGCTCAGCCAGAGCCCATACAAGGCAGTCAGCCCACAGCTCCCACTCTGGGAAGGGAGCCAGCAGGAGTTTCCTGCACTTGGGTTTCCATGACAACCAGTTGCCCTACATGAGATGCAAAAGTCACAAGCAATGAGTGGAACATTCTTGAATCTTGAGTCTTCATTACAGGTAGGTCTTCTGCAGCCTTGGGGGGCACTATGAGGGGGAATTCAAAGGAAAGAGAATTCACGTGAAGGGATAATGTTCAAACTCACCTACCCCTTTCTCCCCACCAACAGCTCAGTTACCATGGCCCCAGGGTCCCAGGTCCAAGGAAGTCCAGAAACAGGCTTAGAGTAGCCTGGTGCTAGGTCCCAAACAATACCAGGTTCCCCTTTTTCATTCAACAGAAATCCCCTCTTGCCTCCTCCAGCCAGGTCCTCAGGTTCCTATGTTAAATGAGGGTCCCTGCCCTTGGTGAGCAGTTAGTCTAGTGCAAGACCCAGGCAGGTCCTAACAGCCAATTACAACCAGAGGACAAGGGAGCACAGAGGCCATGAGAGCACAGAAGAGGGACTTCCTCCAGGAAGTCTTCCCAGAGCAGATACATTTGAGCTGGGCCTGGGATGACAAAAATGTAGCCCAGTAGATCAGGCAAGGAAAGGCATCTCAAGTACAGGGAACTACATGCAGTGGGCTCAGAAGCATGAAGGAGCCCGGT